TTATTGTTATTTATTTTATTTTATTTTTATTAAATTAAATTAAAATAAACCTAATAAAATAAAATAAATATAAAATTGGGTAAAAATATTATTTGGATTTAATTGAAATTGATTTTGGGAAAAATGGGTGAAAATTAGGATTCTGGGGGTATTTTTGAAAAGAAAATCAGAAACCGGGGGTCAAAACGTAATTTAGAAAAATTATGTCCCGTCAGCAGCCACGTCAGCGGCCCAGTCAGCAGCCCTGGCCAACCAGGACCTGCCGTGTGGCAAGACCACGTCGACCCGGGAACGGGCCACGTGGGCGATCCGCGTGCGCGCGATCGGACGGCCCAGATGCGTCCCCGTGCGCACGGACGGCCCAGATTAAGCGTGCGCACGGACGGCCTAGATGCAAGCGCACGGACGGCCCAGATGCACGCACACGGACGGTCCAGATTCAATCGCGCACGGACGGCCCAGATTTAATCAAAATGGACGACTGTGATCAAAAGACAAAAGGGTATAAATAGAACTCCCACACCTGACCACAAAAACCCTAGCCGCCTGCCCTCGCCGGAGAAGACGAACCAGACGCCGGAGGAGCCAGCCGCCGCCACCCACCGCCACACTGGGGAGTTTTTTGACCGTCGATCGAGGTAAATTTCATACCCCCAGCTCGTTTTTCCACGCTGAGTTCCCCTGTGGCCAAATCGGAGCCAAAATCCCGGCCAAACGGCTGAAAAACACGACCGAAACCCAGCGGCGCCGCCACGTCCCTCCTCGATTTTTACCTCCGATGAGGCCCTTCCCGGCCTCCGTTTGATACAATTTTTATATCACCGTGATCACCATTCTTTTCTCTACAGGTTGATTAGAGCCGAATCACCAAAACACGAACCTCGCCGGAGAGCCGCCGCACCCGAGAGCATCGCCGCCGGTAAGCTTCGATTTTTTCGTAAATTTTTGGCCCCCCAAGGGCCCTAGGGTTGTTTTACCGCAAGGACCGATGCAAGTGTGGCCGAAAATGGCCAATCCGAGGCGAATCGCCGCCGGAGCATGGCGGAGCCGTCGTGCCAGAATTGCGATATTGGCCGAAAGGGGCCGTGGGTCTAATTTGGGATTTTTTGGGACACGTGCAGGTACCAGTAGTGCATTTTAGTTCCCCAGAAAAAATTCAGGAAAAATTAAGGACAGCCTGCAGGCGCACTGTAGAGCCGTATTCGGACTCCAAAATAAGTAAGGACCCCTCACCCTATTTTCTATCACGGTATTAAAGTTCAATAATGATAAAACGGTATTTCTTGAATCAACGAATGTGTGAAATTTCTTAAGGTCGCTAATGGAGCCCGAGTCTAGTGTGTTTGTCGGTTAACTGTTGTTTGACCTATTTTACAGTTTTAAATGCAGTATGAGGTCTTATGTTTTCATTTCATAGTTTCGTGTACATATTTTACTGTTTTATTGATTATGGGTTGAATGACTGAGAAACTGATGCTGTATGTTGTCTTGTTTGGCATAAATTACTGGTTTGCTTGTTTGTGTGTGAATTGATGATGCTGACTGAGGAAAAGGGGAATGAAAGGTTATGTAAATTGATAATTGTATAATGTGGTCAGCTTGACTAGATATCCTGGGAGATGGTGGACGGACCGGGTCCGTAGGGAACCCTACCGGGACTGTGGTCTCTCATACCGGACGGGGTATGGAGACCTTATGTGTTTTGGCGCCCATACCGGAAGGGGTATGGGGACAGCCCGTTTCACCCTCATACCGGACGGGTATTGAGGTTTATAGTTTGGCGCCCATACCGGACGGGTATGGGGACGGCCCTGGAATCTGATTACAAGTATTAAGGGTAACGGGTAGCGGGACCCCTATGGATCCCA